TGTTGGAAGGCCGGTTTCGCCGTTCAACGGACTCACACCTCGTTTGGCGACACCTCCTACCGGACGGCGAACCTCTTCTGTTCTTGAAGAGACCATCCTGGAAGAGACCGGCCCTGTCGAAATCGTCGAGGATCATGAAGAGCCGCGGACTTCGTCGGTAACGAAGTCTTCCGATTCTAGCGACGCCTCCACCGTTATGGCAACCTCGACCGAGCTGACACTTTCACTTCCAATAGCCCAAGCTCCCGTCATGACACCATCATCCTACCAAGCCTCCACACTCTCCTCACCTGATTTCTCTCGCCGTCAGGGTTCATTTGACATGCCTCAGCGGCTTGGCACGTCTGCGTCCTCGATGACAGACAACCGTACTATTAGCTCCTTCGCTACCGGCGAGCCTGGCCCGGAAATCAGAATGTCCGTAGATGACGTTCCCTCTTTGACCAGCAGCCGCTCGACCATGGTCACAGTGCACAACAACGGCTCCCGCCGTGACTTCTCGGACAGATCTGCTTCAACTGCTTCAACCAACCAGGAGCAGAACGCTGAGCGTCGCCGCAAGCGGTCCAGCATCCAGAGCTTGAGCAAGCTCATGGGGGCCCGTTTCGGTGACAGCAGGACGGATGTGGCAGAGATTCAGAGGCCCCAGACCTCTGCCACACTGTCTGTACCGAACAGCAAGGACGGCAAGAAGAAGAAAGAGCACCGCCTCAGCAAATGGATGTTCTGGAAATCAAAGAATCCAGCGCGCAGTGTTTCCGAAACCTGAATCTTGCTCCCTGGTTCTCTTCTTCTCGACTGGGGGACAGCACTTGATTTATGCGTGGCGTTTATGGAATTATATGGGGGTTATGGCCACTGGCCTCAGGAATGTTTACCGACTTCTTACAGGACGCGTGCGGCAGATATACAAGGTCATGGCCGACTGCCGAACGATTTTAATTTCGCGTCTCGATGTTGCAGGCGGCATGGGACTTGATGAGCGTTTATTGCGGACATGTTTTATTCTGGCGCGTCTTTCCTGTCTTTGTTGCTTCCCACTGGAAGCAAGTCACGGAAGGCAGCCTGTTCCTTCGATTCGAAAGGAGGGGTGGAGAGCCGAAAAAGGACCTGGGGGATGTTTGCTGATCCGTCGGACTTGACAGTTCAGATGACTTGCTCTGAGAGAGGAGGATGGTTGATCTCAGGTGCTGTGATCTCAAACGGAAAGCTTCCCTTCTCAGGTGTGGTACATAGTTGGCTTCTTTGGCCTCGGGCGGATTTTGATGGAATGTTAAGCACCGCAAAGGCAGAGCGAGATGAAGTATGGAATTAAGACAGCATTGATTATCATCAAATGGACTCAGTTGAGTGCAATAGTGATTGTCACAAGCACCAACAACGAGTTGTAGTCGCATAAGACACCGCCCAGGCATGGCAGGCGTTCCAAGACAATACGGTCGTCAGCTGTCCCTGCATTCTCAGTTGCATCTGCTGAACGGCCATGGTCGTGCATCGTCTGCCCCTGCCAACCTCGCCGAGTCCACACGCTTCAACACTGTTGGCAAGAAGCTGCCGTGAGATTGCGACCTAAGCGCTGAACGGCACACATTGGGAGCAGCTTCAAGTAGTCGAGGACGCCGGCCGGTGTGGCACGCGACCCTCGAAGGGCCCCAAGGTGAATTGAGAATGTCGTCCGTTTCATGGTGTGTGTGCAGTGGTCAGGCTTGGATAGCAACACAGGTACTCTACTCGTGAAGACTTGAGAACATCAAACAACCGACGACTCATGATATGCATATCACAATATCCTACCTATATGTGCATGTGCATGTGCATGTGCATGTGGTGGATCGGTGGGTGGGTGGGTGGGTGGGTGGTGGAGGCAATCCGCGTAATCACATTCAATTCACAAGCTTGGCTGGTGCTGCAAGCCGCCAATCAGTCGCGTCTTGGTCTTGTCTTGTCTTGTTGATTCCCAGCCGAAAAAGGGGAGCAGCCAAGATCAGCGTCGGCCTTCCAGCGCTGTTATTACACCTTGCTGCTGCCACTCTGGTCATTCTCATTCATCACTTCCTGCCTCTCGCTTTTTCCTTTGCTATTTACTACTAACTTAAAGCTTCCACCACCTTTTAATACTCCACCACTTCGTTCACAGCCCGCCCACTCGCTCAGGGGCTGTTGTTTGACTTGCTCTGTTTATTGACAACCGATTTCTCGAAACAACTACCATCACACTAGATCGAGACGACGACGACCACCACCACCACCACCACATATTCTCCTGGCATTTTTGGACCTTTTCTTCAACAGACACATAATGAAGGCTTCTTTTGTTGCCGGCACCATCGCCGTGGCCGCTGCCACCGTTTCTGCTACTCCAGCGAAGATTGAGGCGAGAGCGTCTGCCACCTCTTCTGGAGCTCTTCCGACCATCACTGTTAAGGGAAATGGTACGCAACACACAATCCAAACCGGACATCAACGCGGAAGCGAGCTTGTGGAAAGGGACGACCATCTGGCTGCAACAGCGTAGAGCAAGAGAAGGGTACATTAAGCTGGCTCTCTGCTCTCCCTCTTCGACTGGCCACCAGCGCGAGGCAATGCAGTCCGGACGTTGTGCCCTTGCCCTTGGATTCCGTAGTGGACGGACCGCTTTGCAGACATGATTTGAGCAAGACTGACGTTTCGCAGCATTCTGGAAGGGCAACGACCGTTTCTACATCCGGGGTCTTGACTACCAACCAGGTGGTTCCTCTGATGCAACCGACCCTCTCTCCGACGAGTCTACTTGCACCCGCGACATTGCAGAGTTCAAGAAGCTCGGAATCAACACCATCAGAGTTTACACCGTGGACAACTCTGCAAACCACGACACCTGCATGAGCGCACTCGCTGCTGCTGGTATCTACCTCGCTCTGGATGTCAACACTCCAAAGTATTCCATCAACCGTGCCTCGCCTGCCGAGTCCTACAACGCCGTCTATCTTCAGAGCATCTTTGCAACCATGGATGCTTTCGCTGGCTACAGCAACACTCTCCTTTTCTTCTCCGGTAACGAGGTCATCAACGACGACAACACAACCAACTGCGCACCATACATCAAGGCCGTCACCCGTGACATGAAGCAATACCGTGACAGCAGAGGCTACAGAGCCATTCCAATTGGATACTCCGCCGCCGATGTTGACACCAACCGCTACGAGATGGCCACTTACATGAACTGCGGTACCGACGACCAGCGCAGCGACTTCTTCGCCTTCAACGATTACTCTTGGTGCGATCCCTCTTCCTACACCCAGTCCGGCTGGGACCAGAAGGTCCAGCAATACTCCAACTACAGCCTCCCACTTTTGTAAGTTCTCTTGGCAAACCCATGCGGCCGCACAACTAACAAAGCCCCCAGCCTCTCCGAATACGGCTGCATCAAGAGCACGCGCAAGTTCGAGGAAGTCCAGGCCCTCTACAACCAGGAGATGACCGGCGTCTACTCCGGTGGTCTCGTCTACGAGTACTCTGAGGAAGGCTCCGGCTACGGTCTTGTCGAGATCTCTGGCTCCACCGTGACCGAGAAGTCCGACTTCACCGCTCTGCAGTCCGCCCTGTCCGCCAACCCAGCCCCGACCGGTGACGGTGGCTACCACACCGGCAGCGCTTCCACCTGCCCAACTGAGTCCGACCATTGGGAGGTGAAGGACTTCACTGGCGACGCTCTCCCCGCTATCCCATCTAGTGCCGTCCAGTACATGTCCAAGGGTGCCGGAACGGGTCCTGGTCTCACTGGTGATGGATCCCAGAACGCTGGCGGTCAGAGTGTCGGCACCGCGTCTGCTGGCTCTGGCAGCGCAACTGCGACTGCGTCCAACGGTAGCGCCGTTGCCAGCGCCAGCGCCTCGTCTGCTGCTTCCGGCTTCACTCTTCGTGGCGAGAACGGTGTCGCGCCGTTCGTGTTCGCGGCTGTTGTTGCCGCTTCTACCCTTTTCGGTGCCATGCTTCTCTGAACAGAATCTCCAACTTACGACTGCTTGTTGAATGTTAGGAGGTTGAGGTTGGGAAAGGAGCGGAGATGAAAGCGTTGATTAGCATTTTAGGAGTCTTTTGTTCCTTCCTTTTGCGCTGGAAGAAGTTTGGTAGATCTTCCCTGTACATTTTCGGCTTTCTCTCATGTTTCCTCATTGATGGATCATAGATGCAGCGGGCTGGGTCTTGTGGTTCGTGTCTTTGGCAGTTTTTCGCCGAATCAGAACGGTTATCAAAACATCCTTCCTTCCCTCTATCTCACGCTTCCATCCCCTATCTCCAGGATTTCATCCAACATCTCCTTGTTCAACTTTCCCTTCTGCGTCTTTCCAACTGTCGGTTTGAACACTAACCACCCAGCTCTTCGCTTATAAAACCCTCAGTCAAGCACCGCCTGTTCGTTGTCAGCTCCGTCTTCCTGGGCCAAATTTCCTGGGCCAAATGTCCATCGAACTCGGTCCCAAGTCCGAAAAGAGACTACGATACACAATCGTATCGCCCTTGTACGTTGCAAAAGAGCAGAGAGAAGAGCTGGAACAGGGGGAAAAAGGAGAATCAGATACCTTGTGTGGCCTCGCTTCATTACGGACGACAGAAACATGCCTTGGATTTCACCGCTCCCTTGAGTCTGCCACTCTTGCTTGCTGCTTTGCATTGTTGTAGTCGGTTGATGCCCACAGATGCCGCTTGATGGAAAAAGTCTGTTGTGCATGCCATTTGCTAGCATTGGGAAGTGTAGACCACAAGGGCAATCAAGGTTTGCTTTGATCCTGCGTCTGATTCTCCCTTTACACGTACTACGATCGAGACGTCTTACGAAAAGTCCATATGATTTTCCGTGGAGGACATTGCATAAGATAGACCCGCAGATTGTAGGGTTTTCCTGTTGGTGACAGAAGCCACTTTGTTTCGACAAAATATATATTTTTTTGAAACCCCATTTGACATCAAGCTTCTGTGGACTGTACAGCGTCGCCTGAACAGGTCCCATAGGAAAGCTAGCCCCTTTAGCTCAGTTGGTAGAGCGCGACACTAGTATCTACGGAACACTTGAAATGTCGAGGTCAGCTGTTCGAATCAGCTAGGGGCAAGCCAATTTTTGCTTTGTCTGCGTCTCGAAGTGAGAGATCTTGTCAGAATTCGTTGGGAATCGGCTCGCGTTAACGACGCAAGAAGACACGCGTAAATGCAACTAGGTATATACGAAGAGACACGCTAAGCGAGATTACTTAATAGAAGGGGACGTAAGGCCAGTATCTGAACGCTAAGGTAGTATATCAAAGGGCAAATAAAGTCAAAGGTAATCGAGAAAAGGACTAGACTACGTAGCTAGCTCATCTGAGACGTAAAGAGAACCAAGGATTAGAAGAAGCTAGTTCGGCTCTATGGACTCGTTTAGAACGATAGTACCTCGTGAGTTTAAAGGGCACTTCGCCGAGTCGAGAAGGTGTTTATTATGAGCCAAAAGCCATATGGTAGGCTACTAGAATCAACTATAACCCTACGAATTGCGGTCGCACTATCGCTCTCTGTGCAAGAAGAAGTGCCCCGACGCTCTAAGAGCATCAACGACAGAGCAGGCTAGAGACCCTACGTATAGATGACTTCAGCTCGCAATAGTAACTTACCATCATTGAAAGCGCTACCGACTCCGTCAGGGGGACCAGCTGATCTCCTGGTCCTTGTACGCAGGAGGGAGAAGTCCTTCTTTTCACCATCCATTGCTCAAATAGCTCGATACATCGTTAGTCAACATGTCCCAAAGCTTGTAGTGCCTCCACTCCATCCCATGCCCCCTTCAGTCCTTCGAAACATCACCTTCCACCGTGCGATTCCCTTCTTGACCGTTCCTGACCCTTGGTCCTTTCTGAGCAGCAGCAAGCGTCTGTTGCACTCGGCGTACACGACCGGATCAACCCCTTTCGCATACATTTCCTCACGCTCCTTGGCCGAGAGGAGGAAGACTGGATGGTTGTCGGAGAGCTTGCTGTATGGTTCCCACGGGATCGCGCGTGTGCCTTGTACGGGTGTCATGGGACGTTGCGTAGGCTCGGAGTAAAAGGGGGTTGAGACGAGGGGTGCGTTGGAGACGGAGTCGGTTTCTTTTGGCATCGCTGAATGCTGCTATGTATAGTACGTAGGCAATGGGTCTGTTCATTGGGCTGTGTTAATCACGATTGCGAGCGTCGTTCGCTTGATGCTGCTTTACCTCTTGGTGAACAATATCGCACTTTCACGAACTCAAGTCGTCAAGTTCACTGTCGTTGTACCCATAACGGGGTCTACATTCACTTATATATTCAAGCAAGCCAAATGCGCTATTTGCTGACCTGTATACCATGTATGACCTTGCTGGCTTACTGTCTGACCGCGTTTAGCATAGCCACAACGCCGCCAGCATGGAAGGGCCGGCTGGCGGAGTCACACGACCACAATCAATACTCAAACGACATGTATTCGTGCCTCAGTGCTGCAACGTCTATGCCGTTGTATCCGACACCATTGCCTTCTTCTGGAGCAGACAACAATGAACATTATATAGCAAGTTCCGGGCTCGGGAGGTACTCACAAGGATTGCCAGGGCAAAAAGGTGCACTGACTGTGTTCGCTCCTGGCCTATTCGCTAGATTCGACCAGCGCGAAAAAGATGAAGGTGCACAGCATGCGCAAGCTCCTGATTGAACAGCAGCCATACTCCTCCGACTCAAGTAGAAATTCCACACTGCAAACCTGGAGGCACTTAGACAGGCACCCCACAGTCGAAGACAAGATCTCGTAACGGGTTTGAGAACGCATTTTGCATGTGTTCACGCTGCATGTTGTGTCGTTATCATCCTAATCCTCCCAGCGAACTTCTCTGGATCCGCTGGACCATAGTCACACCGCCACCAATTCTACCAAACCATGCTTCCCTGCCATGCCCGAGAGCTCATAGGAAGCCTCTCCCATAGGTTATGCAATGTAAATTAGAGACGGTCCCTTCTCTTTCTCGCGCCCCGAGACGTGCACATCTGCCTGTCCCTTGCCAGCCTAGTAGCCCACGCTTATCAGATAGTCGCCGAGCTGCTCGACCGTGTTGGCAGCCGAGCCTGGCTGTACGGTTTCCGGGTAGTGTGTGACGAGGATGGCTTGCGTGGTCTTGACGATGACGATACCCTCCTTGCCCTGTGATTTGTCGTTAGCAACCCACTCATGGCTTTGAGATAGCGTTGGTGGTTTTTAGGTCGGGATAGTAAGGCCCAAGGCAAGTTCAGAAGGAAGTGGACACACGTACCTTCTTTCCGTACAAACTCCGCTCGTCGGCCTTCAGCACGACGAAACGCTCGCCAGCCACGTGAAGACCCGTGCTCTGGACCTGCTTGACGCCGTTCGCGTCGCCCTTGTCCTTGTAGGCGTTCACGATCTCCTGCATCTCCTTGGGTGCAACCTGCGATGTGATCCCATCAGCCCAGCTCTCCATCGTAGATCATCTGAAACCGCCTGATGTATCTGTCGCCAGCAATCCTCTCCATACTGTCTTCCACTTGTCGCTGCCAGCCTATTGTGATTGCCCCCGACCGCGCTGAACGAAGGAAGTGTACGCACCGAGAAGCCGGAAGTGGAGGCCCAGACGCTGTCGCCTGCGGCGCTGAAGATGGCGGCTTTGTCGAGGTTGCCGGTGCCAACAAGGCTGAGAGAAGCATTGTCAGGACATCGCCATGATATTGTTTGAGAGACAGAACTCGTCATACCTCTGGTCGACGTATGCTGCGAGTGCCGTGGTTAGCGGCTTTTCATGGGGCTATCGTCGATGATTCAGAGCTGGTCCTACCTTGCCAAGACATGATTGCTTTGGTTTAGTTTGTGAAGGTGGAGGCAGTCGTGTACTTTGAGGGACCGAAACAGGTAGGGAGAATCAAGAAGTCGTTTGTTGATGCGGTAAACGATTTCTGTTGGCGGTGGAAGATGTCGACTAGTGGGGTCAAGTGTTGCAGAAGCGCCCCGCCATTAGTGAAACGCAGTGCCAAGGAAATTCGTGAGGCCGAACAATTACCTGCAGGTCGTGATCACAACCAACTAATAATAGTGGCAAGCAATAACATCTCCTTGAAAAGGTACTCTACGCGAAGATAATCCTTTTGGTCCTTGTTCTTGCAGCTTGAACACATCTTCGATGGACCACACCCATATCAGCTCGTGGTCAAGACATAAAACAGAACCTCTCTGTCCTCTCCGACAACCCGCTCCGTGGCGGATATATCGATGAGAAAAGGCCCCTCACGCAATGTGCAATGCACGAGGAGGTGGTACAAGAAGAAGACCGCAGGCGTGATGTAGTACGAGGACTCCATCTTGCCATTCCGTCTTCTGCAGTCAGGGGTATGCAGGCTTCCGCATAGTAGCTTCAGTTTGCTGGACATAGTTTGAATGCCCGATACTCCCCACCCTACCGATTAGCTCGCACAAGAAGTCATCAACAGGGAGGGATTACCAGGATAGGCGAGACAGTGACGTATTGAAAGGATACCAATGCTCCCAACAGTCAGTCGGACGAACCGCTGACGGCTATGAAAGCAGGTCAAAGCTGCCGACGATGCAGTACAGCGAAATACTGACTCAAAAGTTGCTGCATTCTCCTACGCTCACCTGGCAGCTTGGAAGGTGTGAGCTGGGTGGGTTCCACGATCGTCACGCCATGTTGTTTTTCCTTCATGGTGGCAGCGTATCAGTCCAACTGCCTGTTGAGATCTGGAGCCAATTAGCAGCACACGAACGTGAAAACGAAGAAACAAATAGGAAAAGTCCAGAATCGATTCTCTCTGCATGGAAACAATCGCAGCAGTGCACCTAGTAGAAACCGTCATAGTCGTACAGGGGTATCAGCCAGTGAGTCATCTGTCTCCCAGCCATCCGCCAACGCCAATTCAAACATAAGATATACTCATTTGCCGGAGCCATGTTTCTCGACGAGCTTCCTGTACTGTTGTCTTGAGAGTCCGTTAGAGACCGAGATCCCAGGATGATCTCTCTTGAATTGTGCAGCACGGGTCGCATCAGCCAATAGTTTCTTTCTCGTTTCCTCTTCTTTCTTGGTCAGGTTCTTGTTCTTTTCTTCTTCCTTTTTTCAAGTTGCCTAGATGAGCGACGGACGGGTGCTACAGGTTCAGCCATATTCATACCACCAGCCTGGGCTGCAAAAGGTTGACCTTCGTCGACTGAAGAGACCCTGTGGTGGGTCAGAGAATCGTTCCTGGCGCAGTCTATGGTGGATTGTCGTACCTCATGGCGGCTGCCTTCTTCTTCGGGCCTCGCTGCCGTTTCGGTGGTGGCTCAGCGCCACTCGTGGGCGGCTGTACCTGCTTCTTGTTGTTGGTAGACGTAGGCGCCGGAGGGTTGTTGCGTTTGCTGGTACTGACTCCAGTACGCATGGTACTGTCCGTCATAGCCCCAGCCCCAGTGGTCTTGGAAGTAGCCTGCGCAAGCCGGGTTGCTGGAAGGACCTTGCCGGCCGAAGCTGTGCGCTGGCGTTGATCGGGGTGGAGTCTGCTGGGTAAGCCCCTGAGTTGGTAGACCTCCGCATTGAACATACCGATCGTGAAGCTTCCGCATATGATCGCGCTGCACCGTGAATGAAGAATAATCACCACCCCATACAGTACCGAGAATGCTCCAGCGCTCATCCATGTCCTTGATTCCATCCTCTTCCAGCTCATTCATACGCCGCTCCAAATCATCGAGAGCATCACCGAACTTGTCAAAAATAAGCTCCACAGCAGCGCTGCCGCCCGAAATATCATTGACCGGATTGTTAGGATCGACTATAAGCAAGCGACCGGGTTTGGATGGCTTGCCGTAGAATTCTCCCTGCTTTGGTTAGCATGAAAGACAGCGAAGTTTGCAAGTACAGCACATACCTTTTTGATGTACCTAATCGGATCCATCTCAAGCCCATTGATGTGGAGATCGAACTTTCTGCCGTAGAGATGTAGGAACGCCATGAGAACCAAGTCTAGGTTCTCCTCTGGCCGGAATTCGGGACCTTTCTTGACTTGAAGGAAGTGAATCGAGCAAACAATCAAGCAGATGACCGAGAAGCCACCTAGACCTCCC